GCCTATTGATTTATTGAGATTGCCCTGGGACAGTAGGAGTGTGTGCATCAAATTTCCTGGTCTTGATCACTAAATACAAACAATTCATGAAAATATTTTCAGTTTTTTGACTTTAGATTTCAGTTTTGTTTCACACTGCCTTGAGCCTTCCCTTTATACTTACTGCAACCAAAGGATCTGCACAGCAGGCCAAATGGAGCATGTGGTAATACATGGGAAATTTCCTCTCACATTTTCGGAGGAGGAAATGAAAGAAATGAAAAGCGCAATCTGTGTGTAGGAGGGGAGGTAGGCAGGGAAGTTTGTGCTTAATGATCCTAGTCTGGTCCATGAAATAGGTTATCTGTTTCTAAGGATGGCTAACTCAAGATTCGAGAGTGATAGCGAATCCTGAAAGAACCCATTTGGACAACGTTTTAATGGATGGTTGCCTTTGTTGCCTCACAGTGGGTTCAGCTGAGATAGTACTCGAGAGTATCAATTTGCTGGGACTGAGTCATGATACTCTTGATTCTATTCAGCGGCACTCAGCTGCTAGGGGTGTAGGAAAAAGGAAAGCAGAGGGAGAAGTTGGCGATGATAGGAAAAATTTTCATGGCCAGGAAACCAATTTTATTTTCAGTTTTGTTCTCCAAATTCCACTAATTGAAATGTATCTTTTAATGCTGCAAGGATTGGTGCATTCTTGCAATCTCTGAAACTCTTCTGATTAGCTCTTAACTGAAAGTGAATGCCCAGGAGAGGAGAAGGAGTCTGCATTGTTATAAACAATGTTCTCCCTCAAAGAGGCAAGAAAAATCCTTTCTTTCTTTCAAGTCTCAGAAAAGGTCCTGAGGGGCCTCTTAAAGCTAATACTGTAGTTAGGACTAAGGAACTTAATGTAGCCCAGGATTCACATAGGTATTGCCTCTGATAGTTCTGTCCAGATTCTTGATCTGTGAGCTAGGTGGAGCATGGAGACTTGATTTTTTTTTTTGTCTTGCTTTAACCTAGTCTTAGTAATATCAGAATAAATAGAGGCATAAAATTCTTTAATCCCATCTAAACTGAGAGAACAATAAGTTTAAATGTGATCAAACAGAAAGTGATTCTACTGAAGATAATAAGAGTTAATTATTCCCATAGAAACACCATCACCACTATTGGATCTCTTAAAAACTTAGTAGGGTATTGTCTTAAATTTTGCTTTTTTATTTTTATAAATGGTGTGTTCTCTGGTCTGCATTTCAAGTTTCTCCATAACATTTGATGTCAGAGGACTGCTCAAGATAGATTATTGTTTATTTACACAGAAAAATAAACCAGCACACGTGTTTTTTTATTTGTTTGTTTGTTTTTGGGTAACACGCTGTCATGCTCCAGGCTTACTCCTGGATTTGCACTCAGGAGTCACTCCTGGTGAACCTTAGGGACATTATGGGATGCCAGGAATTGAACTTGGGTTGCCTGTGTCGAAGACAAACTTCCACCCACTCTACTGTTGCTTTAGTCTCCTATGTATATTTTTTAAATCATGTGGATTGTGTTATTTAAATTCCAGTTATTGTTTTCAATTAACCAGAATGCTTTTATATTCATTCTGTCTCTGAGGTCTTTAACCACTAGCCTGTGGGTCAGTTCCAATCTGCAGGTAGAGTAAGGTTGAAAACCACGGGTCAGAGCAATGGTTAGTGCTGCAGGTCTGTGGACTAACACGTAGACAGGTGCTGTTCCTCGGGAGTAAAAGCTTTGACGTACACTCTTCTATAAGTTAAGTGCTCATCAGGGAAACATTTTATAATTTGTGCAAAATATTTTAAAATAATGGGGCCATGCATGTGGTTCAGTGGGAATGCTGCCTGCCTTATGTGTACAAGTCCTCACCGTAGGTCCGCAGAACCACTCCACAGCTTTTGTGCAATTCTGGAAACACGGTAACTACAGTCTCAGCACATAGCAACCAGAAGTGTGACCCCATGATAGCAGAACAAGATATTATTCAAAGATTTAAGTTCCTGACTAATTAGAGAGTTATAGAAGAACAGGAAGAAAAAATAAAGAGTTTCAAGGTATTTGAGAATGGCCCACACAGAAAAAGGGAGGTATGCAATTCAATAAATGTAAAGCATGAAATAGTACAATCTTTGTTAACATGTAAAAGACTTTTGTCGATACTAGAATAATCAAGTTTTCATGGACAAGGTGAATGTTTGCAAAGTCTCAGGAATGAGTGCTAGTATTGACAGATACATAAGGCTTCCCCCTCCATTCCAGAAGCTTTGTCATTCTAATAATGTTTGAAATATGAGCTAAAAAGCCAAAGCAGAACCTCATGCACATTGAAAACCTTAGAAAAGGATTAATTTGCAAAAAGATAATGTGGTGTGACAGCCCCAAGAAAGACAGTCAGAAGACGTAGGTTATGGCAAGACAATTCTTGATCAGAATAATGAAACGCTCTCATTTAGATGACTTAATATTTCTTAATCGGCAATGGAGAGCCAGCTCTATATCAGAATGAGACAGAGAGGACTTCTACTAACCCAATATACTTCAGCACAACTGAAAATCAGAAAATTAACCTGACAAGGAGATGCAGGCTGGATAATGAGCTCCCATTCATTGCCAGGTGGTTGCTGGCTTTAGATCCACTTCACAGGTTATTTCACATCTTTATGAATGGGAGCAACCTGTCAAGTGAGGTGAGTCCACCTATATCCCAGATTGCTCTTCAGAGTCCTGTGTTTGAGAGATAAAGCTATCATGGAGTGGGGATGGTACCTGGCAGATGGTTTTATGTGATCAGAGCCTGAAAGACTTTTTTTTTCTTTTTGGGTCACAGCCAGTGATGCTTAGGGGTTACTCCTGGCTTGGCAATCAGGAATTACTCCTGGCGGTGCTTGGGGGCCCATGTGGGATACTGAGAATCGAACCCGAGTTAGCCGTGTGCAAGGCAAATGCCCTACCTGCTTTAATATTGCTTCACCCAATAAGTAGTTCCTCCCCTTTTAAAACTGTAGCTGCTTTGTCCTCATAATGCCACACAGTCTCAGACATGGGTTGCTGTCCTGTCCATCACTCCATCACATTTCCTCCCTTCATCTTTTAAGGCCTTCCCCTGGCTTCACCTCACCCAGTGCACTCATCATTCTTAGCCTATTTTAAAGAAATACATCTCAGCTGAACTTGAAAGACTAGCCTGGTGGTACAATTTTTTTTGTGAATCTACCCATCATCTTGGGTGGGGTTAACTGATCCAGGGAGGGCAGCTAGGGTGAAAGGATATGTTCCTGTCTGTATTCTATATTCCTGCTGTATAGATCTTCAACACTCACTGACCCCCGAAGGTCCTGTGTGATGTGTGAGTGTGTTGTAGTACTTTCTGAGGCTATACCTCGAGCCCTTCCCAGGTAACTCCTTAATCTCATGAGTTGAGGTAAATTTGAGAGTCCTAACTCTTGAGACCCAAGATCTAAACCACCTATGCAGACTTCAAATAAGTGTCTTTGACTACAGTCCATAAATTGTCAACTGATATTAATTTTATAAAGAAATGCTTTACTGTTAGAGGACCTTTTCATGGCTAAAAGTCTATCTGATTCCACTTAAAGATCTCCAATGAAAGAACTTATTAAATAAACTATGTTGTAGGAAGGTATATTTTTTTGGCAATAGTCTGTTGTTTCTTAATCATATCATAGTTTCCTGTATTATGTTGAAAAGACCCAGGACCAGTAACCAAAATCTTTCTTATTTACTCTTAAATCCTAGTGAACTCCCTTATTTCTTTGAGTTTCAGTTTCTCCACGTACATCTTTATTGTCAGGATAAATAAGCTCTAAGTTGTTCTTCTAACTCAAATATTCTTGCATACTCAACCACAAGAACTCTTAATCAATGGAAGATCATAAAATGATTCTTTGCAAGATAAAGTGTATAGGACCCCCATGAACTCTCCCTTGTCCTCTTGGAATGGGGAGAAAATCCTGACATACTTTTATTGCTTTTGGTTTTGGGGCCACAACTTAGCAGTGCTCAGAGATTAGTCCTGGTTCTGTGCTCAGAGATCACTCTTGGTAGGCTCTGGAGATCGTATGGGATGTTGGGGAATAGAATTCAGTTTGACCACAAGAAAAACAATGCCCTACTCTTGGTACTAATAGCTTGGGTCCCCTGACTAATACATTTTAAAAGGAGGATATAAAAAAAACTACCACTGTGGGGACAATTTTAGTATAAGTATTATTTTCTTTGAAGGAATAAAGCATGTAGCCATTAAAAAGTGAATAATCAGTATCTAAAAACTTACAGTTATAAACAAAAGAGCAATTTAATACTAGAACCAAACAAGATTCAATATTAAGAAGTTATTGGAAGGAAAACTGTTTCATATAGTTTACTAGGACAATAATTGCAAGTAACATTAAGCACCTTCAATATGCTAAGAGTTTAAAGAAAAATATGGTAGTAATTGTTCCATCTCTTCAAAAATTGAAGTTCAAAAGAATCACATTAATCTTTAAACAGTGATTAAATTCAAAACAGCAATTTTGGATTTAATAGATAGACATGTTATTCTGCATAGAATCTTACCTCAATGTACACTATCATACTTCCTAGCTTTAGTAAAAATAGATTAAAATAGAAGATAGACACCAAATCTTCCAATATTTGTATTATCTTCGAGATGAAGCAGTGAGTCTATACCTCATAAATCTGTTTCCAATTTGTTTCTCTGGACATAGTTCAAGTAGAACAACCAATTTATTTATGTCAGCCCTTGCTCTTTTCAGTGACCTCTTTTTGAGCAATGTGTTCAATGAAGAGGTTGTTTAGCAAACAATAACAGGCTACAGAAATACTGACTAAGGCCTTTGCTGGACATTCACTTGCTCTTTTGCTACCCTCGAGAAAGAAGACATGGGCTAGTTCTGAAAATGACAGGTTTATGCCAGTGACCTTGGAGTATGGGTGCATACACAGAAATATAGGCCCACTTACACACTCACAGCTAACCTTACTTGGTAAAGTGGCTTGTTGCTTCCAGGTCTGTGTCTTGTGGACGAAGATTATTATACACATATTTTAGGTCTTGGATTCCACTTAGCTCAGGCAATCCTGCATGGAGCATCTAGGAAACACAGATACACAATAAAGCCTGAATAAATATAGATTAAATCTTAACTAGGTTAAATCTCTTTGGTTAAATCTACACAAGCGCACACACAAACACACACACACACACACACACACACATGCACGCACGCATGCACGCAGACACTTGAGTACATTTACATAGTAATGCTTTTCATTGTAACATGATCTAGGAGGGTGGGGGACTAAGGTCACATCCAATGGTGCCTTGGTCTTTTGTCTCTAGGCTCAGGAGTGACCCTAGGTAGTATTCAGCAGATCATATGTGGTACTGGGGATCAAACCAGGGTCAGCGGCATTCCAGTGCTTTACCCCTGTATTATCTCTATGGCCCAAATGTGAATGTTTTTTAGCCTCCTATATTTAGTAGTTGATACAACAATAGTGAAGACAAGAACCACTAACATTGTCAAAGTGTCTTGAAATGTATAATTTAATTTTATCATCATGAAACAGTGAGATAAACATAGAAGTATTATTAGTCTAGTCTTGTCTTCTTTGTCAAAGAGTCATATGCGGCATCAGACAGTAGAAAAATAAGTGCATTAGTATTTCAATTTCTGAACAAATGAGTAAAATCTGACTAGTCTTAAAAAATTAAGTACATGATTTAAATTTGATATAAAGATAACCAAGTTACAGGAGAAGCAAATGTCTAATAAATAAGAAAGCTTTGTGTTATAAATTATTACAAGTCACAATACCCATTTTAAGTAGAAAGCTAGTAACTAGAATGCTAAATAAATTTTTCTGTCTAAAAATTGTGTAAGCACCTAGTATTTCTCTGGTTCTTAACCTATGTTCTTTCATGACTCCATGACTCATGCTATAAATAATGATTTTTTTGTTATTTTGGTTGATTGTATTTACTAAATTTTATAAAAGCAATGAAATCATTGAAGATGAAGTTGTGGGAAGTATCTGACATTTTCCTGCCAACTGATTGGAAAGGTATTGCTTGTATTACAAGGTGGATGAATGGAATACTTTTTTCTTTAGGTACAAGGCAAAAGTCTTTAGAAAAAAATTCCATCTTTTGTAATAAATGTGAACTTCACAGAAATGGAATGAAGGAGGAGGACAGAGGGAGGAAAGGAGAAGGTTTTTAGTACCCTGTGATTAAAGTGATGAATTGTTTCCTACTCTGGAATAGAAATGCTGTAATAGAGGGAAGTAAAACACATGTGGTTAATTCTAAAAAGATAAAGAATAAGGGGCTGGAGCAATAGCATAGCAGGTAGGATGTTTGCCTTGTACCCAGCCAACCCGGGTTCGATTCCCAGCATCCCATATGGTCCCATGAGTACCACAAGGGGTGATTCTGAGTGCAGAGTCAGGAGTAACCACTGTGCTTCGCCGGGTGTGACTCAAAAAGCAAAAAAAGAAAGAAAGAATAAGCTGAGAATATAGGTGTGGAGGATGGGGAAGTTCAAGAGAAAACAAATGAATATAGAGCTCTCCTTTCCAATTGGCCTCATGGAGGTTGGGGAAGCAATAAATATAGATGTAGGAATGAGCTCAAGATACCTTTGCTTGGGATTGAGGTTTGGGATGGAAACATCTGAAATACAGTGGTGGGAAGGTGTTATGGTGGTGGGATTGGTGTTTGAATATTAAATGTAATGAAATATTGTGAACTGCTTCATAAAATAAAAAGTTAAAAAATAGATATCTCTGCTTGTTCACATAAAGATTTTGGGGTGGTTATTTGGAACAAAGAGTATCCTATGGATAAGCAACAGGGATGAAATTTAAATAGCAAGTAGGGTAGGATGCGTTAGCAGTGTCAAAGTTTTTCTATCCCAACATTAAGAAAAATCGCCAGTGTTTATAAATGGGCATAAGAGAACTGAACTGTGCTTGAACATGGTTATTGTAAAAAGTGGATCAGTGTGCGGTCACATAGGAAGAGACTGGACTAGGAGATGAGTCTGGAATAGAGATGAGATTTAATTTTAATTTTAATTTTAGAACGGGGATAAGTCGAATTTTAAATACATGTAGGAGGTAGAACTGGAAAGGCTGGCAGTTTGGTTGCACTCTAAAGTAGTGTTTTTCATCCTTTACTGAACCGTGGCCCGTTTCCAACTTTGTTTTTTCCGATAGCTCCCCTGTGCTTCTGGCTGGTTCCCCTGTTCTCATGCTGTGGCCTTCCATTTATGTAATTTTCATCTGCCGCCCCCTGGAATATCTTGTCTGCAGGGGCCCTGGGCTAGAGCACAGATCTGTAAGTGCAGATAAAAGAGCTCTCAGCATATTACAGAGGACACTTAGTGCTGTAAGGATGGGTTAGGTAGACCTGGAGAACTATCAGCTGCCTCTTCCTATAGATCTCAAGTACATAATATCTTTATTATTTTTGAAATTGAGTTGACTTTGGTCTTCAACTGTCTGTATGCATCTTAGTAGTTTAAACCCACCTCTCTTCAAATATGTGGGGCTGGACCACACCCGCCATTGAGTACCAATATTCCTCCCCGACTTTCCTCCCCTTATGGCAACTCTTTGGATAACCTCAGTGTTGTAGTTAGAACCCAAGGCTGGTTTTTATTTGGCTTTGCTTATTCCCTTGCTGTGATTCTTTATATCTCAAACGTGAGGGAGATCATCCTGCATCTCACCTATTTGTATCTTACATGTAAGGGCCATTGCACTGTGTCTGTCCTATATTCTTTACCCATCCATATGTCACTGGGTACTTGTATTGTTTCTGTAGTGGCCATTATTAACAAACAGAAAAATAGCACATATTTTTAGACTAGTTTTTGTGACATTTATTTATTTATTTATTTATTTTACATAGGTACTGAAGACAGGGGGCTGGAGCGATAGCACAACAGGTAGGACGTTTGCCTTGCATGCAGCCGACCCGGGTTCGATTTCTCTGCTCCTCTTGGAGAGCCCGGCCAGCTACCAAGAGTATCCCGCCCGCACGGCAAAGCCTGGCAAGCTCCCAATGGCGTATTTGATAGGCCAAAAACAGTCGTCTCACAATGGAGACGTTACTGGTACCCGCTCGAGCAAATCCATGACCAATGGAAGGATAGTGCTAACAGTGCTAACTTAAGAAGGGAACTTCTGGGCCATATGGCAAATCTATTTCTAATATTTTGAGAAATCCCTAGCTTGTTTTTCACAGAGACAGGACCAGTTTGCAAACCAACCAAGAGGATGTGAAGGTTACTTTTATGTCCATATGTTCACAACAGAGCTGTTTCTGTTCTTTTGATCACAGGCCTTTCTCATGGATGTGCACTAATATCTCACTGTGATCTTACTTTATATTTCCCTGAGAGTACGTGATAATGGATATTTTTTTCATGTGCTTCTATGTCATCTGGATGTAATATTTTTGCTTTCCTTCTATTGCTGTTAGAGTTGAATCCCTGGGACATCACTAAGGTCAACGTTATGTTTATATCACCTTTTGTATCTTAATTTTCTCTTCTAATATCCAAGCCTTTAATCCATTTTGAGTTAACTTCTGTGCATGTTGTGAGGCTGTGATCTGGGTTTTTTATTTCTTTTTCTTCTTGGGTGGTCCAGTTTTCCCAGCACCATTCATTGTAGGGACTTTTCATTTTTCCATCTTATACTCTTGAGTCTTTTGTTTTAAGTGAACTGACCTTAGATGTAAAATTTATTTCTGTTCCTTCATTTCTATTTTATTGATCACATATGTCTTTTTGTCTCGGTGTCACACTTTTTTTTGTTTGTTTTGGGGATACACCCAGATGTCCTCAGTACTTGCTCCTTACTCTACGCTCTGGGTTCACTCTTAGTGGGACTTGGCTGGAGGACATTTATACGAGTGGTGGGGATTGAAGCTGGGTCTAGCGCATTCTAAGCAGATGCTTTACTAACTGTAGTATCTTTCCGGCCCCACCCAGTATCACACTTTTTTTTGTGTGTGTATAAAGCAAATTAGTTTTATTGAAAGAAATTCACTTGAGAAGTGTAAGAGCAAAAAAGGGAGAGAGGGAGGGAGGAAAGGAGAGAGAACGAGTATAAGGAAGAGAGGGAATCAGGGAGAGAGAAAGAGAGAGGTGTTCAAAAGAGAAAATGGGCTTCTCTGAAGTGGAAAAAGCACTTCTTTTGATTATAGCTTTTTATTATTTATTTAGTTATTTATTTATTTGCCTTCTGGGTCATGCCTGGGGTTATTCAGGGGTTACTCCAGGCTCTGCACTCAGGAATTACTTCTGACAGTGCTCTGGGGACCAGATGGGATGCTGGGAATAGAACCGGGGTCGACCGAGTACAAGGCAAACACCCTACTCACTGTGCTATTGCTCCAGTCTCCTGATTATAGCTTTTAAAAAGAGGTTGAAATTGAAAAGTGTGTCTCCATTCTTCTACATTTTTATAATGTTGAGGTGTGTTGCTTTTATCCCCATTTGTTCATTAAAAAAATCTTAAATGGATGTTGAATCTTCTCAAATCTCTTTTCAGCATTTATTGATTTTTACCAAGTAATCATCTATATATTTTTTAAAAAATTTACTGATGTGTTTATATTGATTGTTCTCTGTAAATTGAATTATTCCCAAACTAAGTCCCATTTGGTAATGTTATGTGATTCCACCAATTGACTGTTGAATTTGTTTCACTAAGATATTCTTTCTTTTTTAAAATTAAACTATTTTGGAGAAGTGGCAGAGAGGGGGAAGATTCCCAAACCCAGGAGTGCTGAGGAGGCTGAGGAATGGGGGATTTTGTGATGCTAGGGATTGAACTGGATTAGCCACTTAAACCTTACCCCATATACTGGCTCTTTACCATAGCACTATAGCACTGTAGCACTGTCCTCCCATTGTTCATCGATTTGCTCTAGCGGGCACAGTAATGTCTCCATTGTGAGACTTGCTGTTACTGGGTTTGGCATATCGATACATCATGGGGAGCTTGCCAGGCTTTGCTGTGCGGGCGAGATATTCTCGGTAACTTGCCAGGCTCTCTGAGAGGGGTGGAGGAATC